CATACTCCAATTATTGTATGGGGCAATGTATCATTTTAAATGACTATCAATAACTTTTCAAATTCTAAGTTTTAAAGCAGGAGAAAATAGCTTTAGTGTAGGTTTCTCTTGTACTATTACACAACCCCATCTTATAAGGACTGCTCACAACGGTTCAAAGGTGTGGTTCATCAAATCCAGCATCCTGTCTTCAATGTGGGCTAACACCAGGTGCTTCAAGTCACAGCTGGACAAAACTGGCACTTCTGTTCTCCAGAACAGAATACTCATTCTTCTCAGGAAATTGGATCTGAAAAGGATACATCATAACAAAGGTAGTTGCTGAACCAGAAATCCAGCATGATTTCATCCGGAAAACTAATATATATATATTTTTTCCATGAAATCATATTTATCCCATTTTATGTAATGGAACACAAGTCTTTTATTCCTCCCTCCCACTCAAATCTAAGTTCTATTCTTGCAGGGAAGTGTATAGCTTATTAATACTGTAGCTCAAAGTCAAAGCTCCATCTTTCCCCTTCACCCTTTAAAAATAAACCAAATAGCCCTGTCACACTTCAGGAGTCACAGATTGGAGGTGAGAATAGTGAATTACTGTTATTGGAAGTAGTCATATTTCTCAGATGCGAACAAGTTTGAGAGAATATATTTTTCCTCTCCTTTTCTGAACGAAAGTTCCAATAATTTTTTCTTCATGCTGAAACTTTCCATGTCTGAAATTAAGAGATATTTCTTTTTATTTTGCATCCATCAATATGCTACCTGAATGGAATAATACAATTGCATATAGTGTTCAAGGAACGGCATGCGACTTAACAATGTCTTTGGGATAGTTGCAATTATTTTTTTCCATTCCTTTCTTTCTAAGAGGTTAACACTCTCCCTGCCTTTTTGATTACTGCTGCACACAGCAGCTGTTTTCATGCCAGTGTAATCACAATTCATTCGAAATGCATCACCTCCACAAGAACTTTAAAACACCCCATTATCACCTTCTAGACATCAGAACTGAATCTCATCTGCTATCACACTGCTTAAGAATTGGCTACCCTATACACCTGATAGATATATAAAGTCATCAGGCAAATGTATTTGGAGTGCTGCTTTGCCATCCTATCTTAGTGTAGTATAATTTTTTTTCTTCTAAATATTTCCAGCCTCTTGATTCATTCTTCCTCTCTCCATCCAAATATTTGATTTAGCTGATTCAGAACACTCTTAAAAAAGACATTGCAAATATTTATCTGTCTCTATGGGAAAGAGAAAAAATAATGCTCCAAAGTAGGCCAAAAAAATCCTCAAATTGGAAAAAAAAACCCCAGATATTAAAACATAAGAATGCCTTCTAAATTGTGCCTTCTTAGACTTAGATTAAAAACTGCTTGAAGAGGGCTACTAACATCATTAACATGGAAACACAGAATGGTTTGGGTTGGAAGGGACCTGTAAGATCATCTAGTTCCAGCCTCCTACATTAGGCAGGGATACCTCCCTCTAGACTGGGCTGCTCACAGCCCCATCCAGCCTGGCCTTGATGCACTCAGTGCCCAAGGAAGGGGCATCCACAACCTCATTGGCAACCTGCTTCAGTGTCTCTCTTCCCTCACAGAAAAGAACTTCTTCCTGATATTCAGCCAAAACATATTCAAGTATGAGCCTCTATGGAAACAAAGTGAAAGCCTTGAGTTTGAGCCCCAACAGACTTTGTAAAGAGAAATTATATATATATAAAAAAAAAAAAAGTAATAATCTGAGATCAGGGACCATGAAGTTATCCTTTTGACTGACATCCAGCAAGCAAACTATGTTATCATTCACAAAGATGACCTTTAATTGCTGCCTTGTTTCTTGTGAATAATTCTAATGATACTGAAGCACCATTAACATACTGCTTTTTGCCTACTGTATTAAGCCTGTACATGCTTTACCTTTCTACACCATTTTCTCAACTGATTTACCTTCTATTAATTGAAGATGTCCTAAAAGGAATACAAAGGATTGTTTTAAAAATAAGTACTTCATCTTGTGTACACAAACTACTGTATAATTAATTATGATGGAATCTACCCTACGTTTTTCAAAACTTTTTTCTAGAGCTCTTGTTCAATGAATCTGGTAACAATTATTGATACTAAGTATTAGTTTGTTTATACATTCGTATACTGTCACTTCCATCTCTGGAATCACTCAGGGTTAGGTATATCCATGTAATTATCTCTGATGAGATAGAGTAGTCATTCCTGGATGAGATTCTGGCTCCTCTGAGGTCAGCAAAAATTACTGATTCACAAATTCACTTCAAACATCCCTGAACTTCTGCTATGGTACAAGGTAGATGCTGCCAGGCTGTGGAAGTGGCCTAGTCTCTTCTAGGTGACATAAACAGGAGACCTAGCCACTCAGCAAGCACTTGTTCGAGTCAGGCACTATTATTTCAAGTTGAGCAATGTTTTTGGAAAGTTTTGTCTCCAGAGCAGTGGTCTATCTTTTTGCTATAATGAAGTTTTCCACCCTGAGAAGAAAGGAATAGAAGGGAGCATGCAACAAAAATGGTTAGCACTACATACATTTAAAAATCCAAACAAGTTTCTCTGGCTCAACCATTCAGTAGTCAATTAGCAATTAAGGGTAGAAAGATTCAGGAAGGAACAGAATAGGTAGAGTAAAAAAGACTAAGACCAGAATCACTGAAAAATACGAGAAAAAAAAAAAAACAAAATTCAAGAGGGAAGGTGAATGAATTTAGATTATAAGCAAATGCATTCAGGTAACAGCAAAAGAGCAAATGCAATCTGTAAACCTAGCTCTAAATTTAGCCACATACTGATATCAATAGGAACCATGTATCTCTGGATGGCCATCAGTGAGCAGATTTAAAAACCTACAAGGTTCTACTAAATTTTCTTAATAAAGGGACAATGTGAGCATGATTTTATCAAATGACAATTTATCAGATGAGAGCATATTACTAATATGCTACATTTAGTAAGCTAGCTTATTCGAAAAATGGAAGATGTAGTTTATATCAGTACAGAAGGCTAGGAATAGGCAGAAGTAGGCGACAGACACCAGCACAGTAGAAGCTCAAACTGTTATCTGAGAGTATTCCTTACATAAATTAAGACGGAAGAAAATGCAGGTTTATAGCTACTATGATTCATACTGGTAATTTTCATAAACTAGTAGCAGGGATGGAAGCAGAATCACAATTTCTAAGCTTATTAACTAGTAGCCCCAGGACCTTTTTTTTCCTAAATGATTATGATCCATCATTGTAATACCACTGTGAAAAAAATATCACCACAGTTTTAGAATCCATCATGAAAGGAGACTCTAAATAGTTTCATCTAAAATAACTGTTTAAATGGCCTGATTAAAAAAATGTAGAAAAAGTAGAGAAGGTGAGAAAAGACCTAAAATTAAACCGATAAAATGCACTGGCTTGTCCAGCTCATGAGATAAAGCTTCACACAATATGCTTACTCTCTTCAAATACATCAAGGACCTGGGAGTTAAGAGGGAAAAGGCAAAGCAAGTTACTTTTGAGCAGAGTTGATGAGACAGGAGTATGTAAACATACTCTTTAAGTTGTATTTTTATTGCTAAGAGAGACATGATTCTGTAACAGGCTTCTATTAGACTTGCCTTGTACAAGAACAGTTTCACTATGGAAATTGCTGCTGTAAGTACATTCAGCTTGCTGATCTGCAACAGGAGGCAACATTTTGTAATCTAAAAGCTTCCATTTTGATTTTTGCATAATAAGGTCCAGGTTTCCTTCAACACCTCCTGAAAGAAGTCACAACACCATGACCAAGATACAGCCACCTTTTTATATTCCCAGTGTCACGTCATTACATTTCCAACACAAATACATACTCTTTGAAATGCAGTGGCACTCTTAGCAAGGAACAAACTGTGCATATATATATATATCACCATGATAAATTTTTACCAACCAAATCCTTCACAGTTTAGCATCTTTCCTCAGAATCTTTTCTTCAGTTATTTCTCTCCAACTTTTTTTTTTTTTTTTTTAAATTTAAATTACCATGTTGCAGAAAGGTTCCTTTTAACTTTACTGACAGATCTGGCAAAACAAACTACTATTTTCTACTTTTCCCAGCTCAGTCTCTTCAAATGCCAGTCATCAGTATCTTAAAGGCACCAGTACAAGGAACAAGAACGTAGTACCCAAATACTGCAGTTACAACTAATGTTTTATTGTTCACATATACTTTTCTCCTTATGGTATTTGATGAGACTAATATTAGTACTGATTGGAGCAAAACAACCACTCAGTTCAGTGACTGACAGATACTGCAACCTAAATCGTACACTGTGCTACAGGTAGAAAGGTTTTAGAGAGAGGAAAATAAAAAACATCTCTCGAGGAAAGCAAATTATTATACTTACCAGTTAAAAGCATTATTTACAAAAGTAAAGTAACCATTACTGGGTTATGCTAGTGCCTTTCAGACACTGTATTTAACCAATTAAGTAGCCACAAGAAAAGTATGCAGGAGAATGACTTCCTTCCCATGCTAACAGAACTTGTAGTTTACACATCATACTCCTTCCTGTTCCAAGTAGTTTCTTAATCTTGCTCATCAGCACTTAAGATTGCTTTTGGTTACAGAAGCCTGATGTTAAGCATGATCTTGCATGCTGAGAATACAACTGCAACCTTGCAGTTATCAATTCCTGATGTCAGACTTAGTGGCAATGATCTATCCAGGTGATTATTTTCAGTGTAGTTTGAACACTATCAAAAAAAAAATCACAGAACTTTAGCAAAGTTAGTAACATATTCAGCCAACTAAAATTTTTAAGCCCAAGTTCAATTTTGAGACTGGATTTTTTCATCTCCCTAATTTAAGAACTAAAAAAAATTAGCATTTAACTTAATGTTAATATACTGCAAGTTGAAGGGTTTCTCAGTACACACCAGTTTTAAAAAGCACTTCAGCAGTTTCACAAAATACACCATCCAGGAATTTCAGATTTAAATTTTATTTAGACATATCCAGCATGGTACACAATTGCAGATACTTTTTCCACTTAAGTTGCTGTATAGAAGACTTCAACTCTGCAAGAAAACGTAGAAGAATTAACAAGTTAAAGAACTTTGTATTACCTCTGCATCTAGAAAAGCCTATAAAAGTATAACTTAACTTTGATGAAACCATAAGACTGGCAAAAGAATTACACAGGTGATATGAATGACGTTGCAATTTATTCCAATTCAGATTTCACTGATAATTATTTCCTTCCAAAAACTAGTTCAGTCAACTTGGCTCCCCAAAAAACACATTTCTCAGATTAGAAATATCTGGTGCTATTAATTCAGTAAAGTGGAGTAAGTTTAAAATAAACTAAAACAGCCCTCCATTTTAAAGTGGTGTGCTTTCAGAATGGAAACAGTGGCTGAAGTTTGTTTGGTCTATCAGTATCATTAGCAAGCACCAGTTATAGCATCTGATGTTAATTCCCTTATTTTAAGTACATTTTGCACCATGTACTTAAATCACATTAAGTGATTTAAGTACATGGTGCAAAACAATGCACATGTGATTGTTCTGAAATGGCTGAATTGAAGTTGAAGATTTTGTTCTCTGCTGAGTTTTATCTGGCACATCAGAAAGCGTTTACAGTATCACAGATTCTCATACTGTTTTGTTCACATCATATATGCCAGATATCTCTCTATATTATGTGAGGTACAGCTTTGTTTCCTAAAATGTGGATATTTATTTTACAGTTAATGTTCCAAAGCAGCTGGACTCCACCACCAATTAGCCTAGTTGCAGGCTATAAAGGCTATAATCAGGGAGGTTGACATTTGGGGATTCAAGGTTCACATATCAATGACTTCAGTACTCCAGTATAGCAAACTGAAGCCCATGCATCATTTGACTTTAAATGGAAGTGCAAACCACAAACTGATATAAGTAAGAAGTCTGGGAGATGCCGTAAATGAGCTCAGACTCTTCCATCCAGATTAGTTCAGTTTCTACTATACTAGAACATCAAAATCATTTACCCAGTAAGCGTAATTACAGTTTGTCCCCTTCATTTCTTAAGAAGCTGATGTCTGACAATAAAGAAAGGGGCAGCAAATCCACTTCCAAAGAACGCACACATCATTGCCAGTAACCGCCATTTGTTGTCCACAGAAAATGGAAGGTTCTAGAAAAGAAAGGTAAATGTTTGTTCTGCAATTAATATAATACACCTTAATTACTTCCTCAGTTGCATGACAATAGTAAGACGCCCAGAGCACCAGCACAAGGACTACAACTGATAATAAAAATGAATCCCCCGACCACTACCCCCTTCTTTTCATGCCTAAAGACCCAGTCATTCATTACAGTAGCTTGGGTATGACCTCTTGGATATGAAGAGGTTTTGTCCAACACCCTTCCAATTCATACATAGGCCAAAGGAGACTGGCCTGCTCAAAACCTTGTCCAATCAACTCTAGATGTCCAAAAGTCCATTGCTTACCATACTGGCCTCACAGCATCTCTATGCAACTTGTTCCAATAGTTAACCATCTTTGTAGGAAAGACTATATTTTTCAAAGTGAGTATAAATCTAGTTTTTAGATGTAGAATTCGAGAGAACCCTTGGAGCATAGTGGCACATCAGAAAGCGTTTACAGCATCACCATTTCTACTCATACTGCTAAGCTCATCATCTGTACCATAGAGGGCTACAGAGAAGGATACTGAAGTCATTGGCAGCAGCTTGCTTTGCTGTAGTCATTAACAGCAGTACAATAAAACTGCATACCTCATTGCTAACTGGAGAACAGGCAACGGGACAACTATGACTTGGCTTTTCAAGGCCTGCAAGTCCAGTTTTATATAAACTCTGCAGGGGGTGATGATGGGACACGCTCACCTTGAGCAAGCCCGCCACAGGCCAGGCCTGCACCTCACCCCACGCATGCTTCTCGCCATGCCAGGCCTCCACCGTGCCCTACGCGGCACTCAGGGTATCTGATTGACGAGGCAAGATACCCTCCGCTCCCTCAGGGAGAAGCTGCGGCAGGGCTGGGCCGGAACTAAGCCTGCCCGCGGGCCACCAGCGCCGCGTCCTTTCCGTCTCTTGCCTTCCCGCCTTCCTTCCCTACCTGCTCCCCCTCAGCCTACAACTCACAGCTGCCCGATCTCCCTCCTTCTCTCCTCCCGCTTTCCCCTCCTCATCCCCCGCCAGGCCCATTCCTGCCCGCAATCTTCTGACCGTTCCTCAGCACTAAGACCTCCTTCTCTCACAGTACCTTCCCGGGTCCATCCTCGTAGTGGCTCCTGCGGAGGACGGAGGTGGTGAACCTACGGACACCGGCAGCCAGCATGGTACCGACACGCAACACAGCGGCCTCTCCCCTGCACGACCTTCCCGGAGCACGCCCGGCGCCTTCTGGGACCGGCGGAAGTGACGACACGAAGGAAGTTGCCGCGCAGACAGGTGCACGATGGGAGCTGTAGTCATTCGCAGCAAAATCACGTGGCCCCGAGCGGCAGTCTGCGATTGGACGCGCACCGTCCTCGGAGGCGGGGTTGTGCCGCCCGCGTCCTCCCCGAGCGCCATTTTTCTCGCTGTGGGGTGGGATGGGGGAGGGTGGAGAGGTGCTTCCCTCGGGTGTGGGCGGAGCTGTGGGAGCGCGCCCGGCCGTTGATGAGTCGGAAGGAGCTGTGCGCGCGTTTAGTATTTACGGCTGTTATCGGTATATTTTGGAATATTTTACTACATTTTATTTTGAAAGTGACACTTGAATTCTTACGCTGTAAAAGAAAGAAAGAAACAGACAAACCCAAACCCTATCATTCGGGTTTGGAAAAAGCAGAGGTTTTTTTTTTCCCCCTCCTCCTCCCCCCACCCCCCCGACGCTGTGTAAGGAAAGAGATGCAAACAGGACGCCATGCTCGTTTACATGACACATTAGTTAAGGTGTCAGCCATGAGACATCGCTGCATGCATTCCTAGCTGCAAAGTCGGTTCTGGAAAGTAGAATAAGGCACAAATAGATACTGCATTTGCCATTCAAGGAAATTTTAAGTGGGAGCATAGCTCAGCCATTAGTAATTCAGTCTTTTTTTTTTTTTTTTGGTCATAGATTTCTCTTACAGGTTGTGAGTATCATCAGATTGTGGCCGTTCATTTTGTCCACAAGACCATACAGCCCTTGTGCTGCATGCATCACAAAATCAGTGACATCCAACCTAAGGAGGTTGTAACAGCACAAAGGATTCATTTAAATCTGACCTCTTCTTTTTTGAGTGCTTCATTACTCCTTGACCATTACTTAGCAATACAGATCTCTTGCACACATTTTTCCCATTAGTAGATATATAGTTGTTGTTTGGTTAGTCATGTTTCAGTTTTTTTTTTTTTTTTTTTCCCACTGTCTAGTTTTGTTTTCAATGTTATGTGTAATAGTTTACAATTCTTTTTGTTTTCTTCATTTGTTAACTCTGAAGTCTTTCGGAAGATGCTTTCCTCTTTTTGCTAACTTATGTTGCTGCTTAGCTCAGCCAAGTTTCTTTTTACACATTCCTAATTGTAATTAATTCTACAGTGGTACTTTAATTCTTTTATGGTAGTCTGCTTACTCTCGGTGGTCACCACGCCACTTAGGAGGTTACAATTCCTGGTATTTTCCCTTTTTAACATGTTGTTCTTTTTAGGCAGCTCTCTTCTGGCAGTGGATTGCGTGGTGTTTGTTGCTGCTGAGTTGCTGCTGAGTAGAGGTGTAGAGATCAGCGTAGTACAGCAGATTCTCAGCAATGTGATTTTGAGCTGAGCCAAGATCCTTCATATCTCTCAAGACCAGGTAAACAGTTCCTTTCTTTTCTTGTCGTCTCCTAGGCAGCAAATGTACAAAAGCCATCATTAGCACTGTTTAAAAATGTATTGTCTGCTTAACATCACAAGTCTACTCAGGGATAATTTTAGTCAGTTCAGTTGCAGTTCTTGTCCTAATGCTATTGTAATTTTATTTTTTTTTCTTTGGCATAGGGCAGGTGATGTTGTCCTGCTGGCAGGGTGACTCAGTGGTACTTCGCAGTTAATGGACTTTGACTCTCAAGCATACAAGTTATGTGTTACTCAGTAAGGCCGTTAGTTTCAAGGATAGACGCTACGCCTTCTGTAGTAGAAGATATCAATCACTGTCAGAGCTTAGCCATTGTCTTTCATATGTATACTGAATTATGATACTACAGTGTTTTCTTGATTGACTTAATTCTGAGAAGTTTGTGATAGAGTTAGGTTTATATTGGATATATCCACACAGATCTGTGTTAGAAAGGATGAAAGATTCAGTTTCTTGACTTCCAGATAATCCAGAAATCTTTTATATGACTTCTATAGCGATACAGTTAACAGGCTTTTATTAGAAATAATACTTTAATCCTAGAGTTGGTATCTTGCAGATCTTCTCTATGCATGCGTAAATCAATGTGAATTTTCAAGAGGAGTTTCACAACTGGTGAAGAAATTTGTACAACTCTCTCTGTATGCTTTCAAAATGCATATTAGGAAGTGAATTACCTCAGCCCACTAACAGGCTACAGTAATGCTATTCAGTTCAGGATTTGAGAAAACCATGCACTTAAGAGTTTAGAGAAATAGACTCAATTGCCTTTTTGGTGCAGGAAAGAAAGAAACTGCCTCTCAAACTATTAGAAGCATGATGGATAGTAATTATACTGAGGATAATCAGGTGGCAGAATGGATTATTACCATCTCCTAGGTGGCTAATGCTCCACTGGTGTCTTTGTAAAAATGCTGTCTAACTCACACACAATGGCAGGGCATGTAAAAGGAATGAAAGGTGAAATTTCCTGGACTGTGAGTGAGAGTCAGAACAGATGATTACAGTGGTACCTTCTGGTTTTTAAATCTACAAATCTCTGAACCTAGTCTTTCAATGTCTATCCAGCTTTCTATATCTACAGTTCTTTTCTTCTTTTAAGAAACCTATTAATATAATTGCTTAGATTTCCAGGGTTATTTTTATCTTTAATAATGTATTGTATATTTCTGCTTTTGAATGTGATTTGCTGATAGATTATTTCAGGTAATTCTTTCTTACTGCTACTCACTTTTCAACTGAAAAAATATTTATTTTCTTGAACTGTAAGGAAAAATGTAAATAAGAAAAAAACAACAGGTAACTCGAGTAGATAATTTCGAGTGCTTAGCTTTTGTGATCTTGAAGAAAGAGGCACAGAAGCTTATCATGACATTCTGATATAATGATAGTACTAAGGTACAGGTTGTAAGGTCTTTTTCAGTCTTGTTTTAAGAATAGGAAACAGCTTTTGTTCAGTACTGGAATTGCATGTGGTTAAACTGTATGCCCTTCATTAAAACGTATTAGTACGTATTCCCAAATTTTTAGCAGTATCGCTGATGGAGATCTTGGATTACAAATCAACTGTTGTGTAAGGCATATATGAATATAATTTATATAGTAATTTGTAGCTTATAGTAATTTGTCTTACAGTATGTGTAATAGGCCTATTTCTTAGCAAAGTGAATATTCTGAAATTGAAAAATATATATCAAATATAAAAGGAATAATACTATTAAAATAACATGGGGATTGTCAACTGAAAGCTGAAGTGATAGTATGCAAAGTGTCAGAAACACCTGAATTTTACACAATTAAAGTTTGAAAACCTAGAATTGAAAAGTGAAAAATTATTTCTTTATGAAGTTATTTTCTTATTCTCCTTAAAAGTACACATAGGTCATTGGATAGTGAGGTAGAGTAGTAAGCGAAATTGTGTGAAAATGGTTACAATTGTGTTGTAAGTACTGGCAATATAAGGATCTTTGTAGGAGAAGGTCACTGGGAGGAGTAGCATCTTTCATTGTTTTGTTATGGGTATAGTTCTTAAAAGTAGCTAAGTTTTCAGGTGTACAAGTTGTCTTTCAGGTCTGAAACTGACGGAGTAACTTCTGAAGATACAGACAAAATAATTTTTTAAGACAGAGTTCAAAGAAAACCTTTTTTTTTGTCAGGTGTTTTTTGAGTAAATAGTTTCACAGAATCAGTTCACTGTGTTGCAGTGAATCTTATGTTGGCCCACAGAAAGGTGTGGAATATCTGTAACAATTAGAAGCTGGAAATGATGGTGATGGAATTGGTGCATTTATTTGTGCATGCTTGAGTTTATATTGGCAAAAACTTTAGCTTAGGTGCTGAATACGATGATCTCTGGAGGTTCCTTCCAGCCCCTACAATCCTGTGATTCTGTGATTTGGGATTAGGACATGTGAAAATTACTACGTACACAAATTATTTATTTTAATTGAGTTGCAGATTTTTAATGTCCAGTGCAATTATGAATTTTAGTTTCCAGTTCCTTGATGACACTGAAGATGTTACTGTGGTAGTTGTTAAAATATTGTGATTTCACAGATAGATTTGAGTTTATTGTAGTATCTTATGATTCTATGATCTTATAAGCAAGAGGATAAAATCACAGGGATTTCTTTTTGTACCACAATATCTGTATGTTCAAAAGTCTCCCTGACTCTCCACTATGAGGTGCCTTTTTTTTCTTTTTTATAAGTCATTACTTCACAAATGCAACTCACTTTTTCCTTTAGAACTGCATATTAACAACATCTTACAATTAACATATGCAGTTAAACTTACTGTTTTCTATATGAGATGAAATAATTTTGTTTCTCTGTTTGTTTGAAACCTGAGAGGGAGTCTGTGCATCTAAATTTGATTGTTTGCTCTGGTGTACTATTAGGATTGTAGGGAGAAGTAGCCCAGTTCAAATATAATTCATATTCTTAAATCATGCTGAAGTGCCCGTATGCACGGCAATGTGTTTCATAAGCAAAAATGAGTGACAGTAGCATCTGTAGAATTAAGAATGTAAAACTCCCTATTTGCTATCATAGATACCACAACACAATTAATTTATGATTAGTTGAAAACCATTGTAATTGCTTGCATTTTGAAGTAGCTTTGAACAGTGTCACTGTAGAAAAAACCCGTGACTGAAGAACTGTTTCTGGATATAGGAATTTTTGGGTACCCTGGCATATTTACTCTAAACTTACTTGCAAGTGTAATGGTCAATTTACATAGCTGGTAATAACCAAAATTGTATTTATTTTTTCTGCCTTATTAGTGCTCATTGTTTTTTATATAGTGTATCAAAGCATTTCTGGATGAAATTTCTTTTTTCATCTGATTAAACTGAAGCTATCTTATTTTGCTTCTCTAATATTGTAACAGGGCAGTATATATTCCTTATAGTAGTTTAAATTTTTGATATACTGGGTTAATTGAAAAGTCTGCTGGAATCCATAAATGCTATTGAGTTTTGAAGCTGGTCTTCAACTTATTTGGGATGGTATTTTATTTTATTTTATTTTATATTTTATTTTCTGTGGGTAGTTGGA